GCGGGTTTGGATAGCCCCTCACAATAATGAGGATCTATAGGACGGTTTGGACAGAAAGTCCTGTAAAAAAACTCCTAATCGAGCATGGGAACGCAATCGAGAGTACCGTCCAGAAATCTGAGTGCGTAGCAGTGATGCGATGCACACTAGCAACACCCCGAACACCAAAATAATGGCAATCATAATCAAGATGGAACAGTCATGCGCACTGGAAGACAAAACTGTTAGACTTTACAACTTACCTGTAGCATGCTGGCAGCTGACGATCCCATACTGATGCAACATCCTAGAAAAGTTGATGACGCGAAGACCGAATACCATCGCTAGATTAAAGATGAATAACATTGTCCTGATTGATAGGATTGCTTGTGTAGTCACTAACGTCACTGGGATTGGCCAAATCAAAAAAAATGTGGAGTTGAGCAATTGCACAAATCCGGAGTCCAGAGATATCACGTGATGCGGAGACAGAAATTGTGGAAGACGGTAATAAGTTAATGAAAGTAAAACTGGTGAAAAAACAGCAACCAACCAACAGTAGTACCAATCTAGCCGGCAAAACTCAACCATCCGATACTCCACCACCAGTAACGGCAAACTGTAATGCTGAATCTAAAAAGTTAAAAATGAAAGAATCACCTAGCGCATCTCAGAATTCAGCAACGGATATACAACTAGTCATGAAAATAGGATGTATGATGGTATGGTGGATTAGTTGGAGTTTTATAAACGGAGCGTATAAATAAGTGTGAGGGAATGTATTTATCATATTGAGCTTAGGGTAATTTGCCAGTAGTATAAATAGAAGTAGGATAGCCTAATAAAAGGGATAGTGTTTGCATTTGTAAGAGAGTGATAATAAATGCATCTCCTTAATTAATAAAAAGACTTGCCTTAAAAAGAAATCATTGTCTCCAATTAAAATCCAGTAAGACTGAAAGAGGAACTGAGGCATGAATTAGAAAAAAGCCTGGTTTAAGAAGAAAGTGATATTAATAAAGGAACCACTGATCAAATCTTAACATGCCTCAAGCAGGAAAACTTATCTTAAACTTAATCATGATGCGACTGCTGGTTCCGGGTTAGCCAGAAAAAACAATAACAATGCATAAAGTTATAACTATATGGGCTGTTGCATAGCAAATCAGAAGAAAAAATGTCCTTCATTTACGATAAAAGTTTAGATATATTGTATAATCTTGCACACAGTTTTTTTATTTTGTAAGGTTTGATATATAAATCTAGATTGATATTTACAAATTAAAATTTGTTTCTAAGCCTTGATTTACTATGTAACAACCATATCTAATTTTTCAAATTCTTCTAAAACATTTGCAGGAACTCGACAATAAGATCGATACTTTTTAACTGCAAAGATAGCTGCTTTACCTGAAAGTCCAAGTTCATAAGCACTTATATAACATGCAAAACAACGTGAAAATCAGCGAATTTTTGTTAAACTAACTGAAGCTAATGCATGTGGTACAACTTTCTTAAGGTCATTGAATGAATAATTACAGTGAAGACATGAATATTGCTTTGCTTCTCCCCAAAAAGACTCGATGTAATTAAGTTTACAATGAAACTTTGAATAAAATATGCACATATGTCTTGCTGCCTCAATAACCTAAAAAGATAAGTTTTTTTTTTAATTTTTAAATATTAATTAATTATATAATTATAACTTACCTCTTGTAAATGTATTTTTTGTGACATAAAATCAGGCTGGATCGAAAGAATACGTGTTGCGCAACAATCCAGTTTAATTGAATCAAAGTTATGTTATATATATGCATTATATTTTTTTTCAAGCTTGAAATCCATAAACCATGCTCTTCAAGAACTTATTGAATACCTTTTGATTTTATTGTACCATTAGCATCTATAAATATCATAATATGAGGTGAACCATTTGGCATTCTGCCATTACGAAGAAGTGATTGTTTTCCACCATCTTTCATATTCATTCTTGAGACTACTAATGCATTATTGGCAAATGCATTATGATTACAACTATTGTCAAACATAAATAATGCTATCTTTTCTGAGTGAGTATGTTCAAATATTGGAATAGCTCGTTCTTTTACTTGTTTAATTACATCTTTGTTTGTTCACCAGCCATCACGGTTTATACCAGGATACATTATAACACAAGCCTCAGTATATAAAAGCCACTTATTGTCAGGAAGTAAATTGTTAATGGTACATTCTTCTTTTGAAAGCTGAAGCCGTCCAATAGATTCACAAAGAAATTCACTAACATGAATGCTAAGACCTTGTAATTTGCAACGAAATCGATTTTCATCCATTGGACCCCAAGCTTTAATAGCATCATTATTGGCATAGAAGATTGATTCATCATAAGTAACAGGAACAACTTCAAGAATACCGTCTGGAAGTATAAGCAAAATAATCTGATCTAAGTTTTCATCTTGATAAGTAGCCATTCGTTTTCTTAATTCTATCCACTGTTGCAAAAATCGTTATCTGTCTATTATTACATCTTCACACTCATGACCATCAAAATAAATATTTTTTGAATGGTTCTTATATTTTCAACCAAGTATATGTAACCATTTACATGCAGTTGAGTATGAAATACTTGTTTTTTCCTCTATACCAAGTGCAAGGATTACTTCATTCTCAATAAATTTTATAAAATCAGCAATATTTAACTTGAATTTATGTTCACGTAAATATTCGATAATTCATAATTTGAAATCTTCATGAAAAAATAGAGATTTGATTTTTGGATAGCAACCACAATTGGATGTAATAATTATACTATTGTTGATTTATTGATTTGCCCATGAGCGGATAAGTCGTGTATGCCATGGACCTTTATTTAAACTTTGAGCAAGAAAATTACTTGCATCCATTTTGGTATATTTTTGATCCTGAACTAGATGTAAAAATTGACTCATTATTTGAAGTCATATATCATCTTTTTTTTTTTTTAATAAAGAATCTAAAGATTCTAAAGTAAATTTATTATTGTTATCACTGTTATATGCACCTTCAAATGTAATATTTATATTAGATGCAATAAAAGATGATGGTAGAGTTGAAATATATTGTTGCTGTGGTGATGAAATTGGTATATATTGTTGCTGTAGTAATGGAGTTGACATATGTTGTAGTGATGATGAAGTTAATATATATTGTTACTGTGATAGTAAAGTCGACATATATTGTTATGGTTCTGAGGTAATTGTATGAAACATATCAGTGATTTTTTTATAACCCAAAGCTGCTTTTCGCCAATATGCTCTCTTATTATACAATGTTGATTGTGCTATGCCGGTATATACTGTTCTATGTATAGCCCATGGATATGACTTTTTTGCATTTTCAACTAGTTTTTCTAATATATTTGGTTGTGTTTCATCAATATTGTTTTTACTTTCTATTAAAAATGTATTATCTTGTTTCTAACATTTATTGATGGCATTTCGAGACTGTCTTGTGCATTTACGTGATTTTGGCATTACTGTACATATGTATAATAAAGATAGTATTATATTTTAAATTCTGATCAATAAAATTGTATAAAAATGATTAACATAAATTTCAGCAACAATTTATTATTTGATGTAACTAGATTATTTGCACTATATAAAATTCAAAATACATACTAGTCTTACTTATTATTATATTAATATACTCAGGTAGTAATCAATTATCAAGCAATAATTTTCTTGAATACTACCTGATATTATTAGTGGGGAGTAGTATTTGGGGGTATTGTATGCAGTGATATATGGTACTTATTAATTGTTACTTAGTAATACGAACATAATATGGTTTTTGAAAAATGTCTGAATTAAATATAAACATATGTATATTGTTGACTATCATTTGGGGTCATATTGCTTGCAATATCAAAGATACTTGTTAACACAACAATTCTCTAACTTTCTTTCTTCTCTCTTGTTCCTGTGACTCAATCTTTCATCAATAGGCTCAGTATTGGTTACCACCAGATTCTTTAGGTGACAAGTATTTTATTAAAGTAAGTTTATTATTATCGTGCTGCAAAATACAGGTTTATTACAAGGTGATTCTCTCTTAATTCAATTTAATTACTTTTTTCACTACTGGCTATTTTACTTCTATTTATATTACTTGCAATGTGTTCACCAATCTTACGTTGCATCATGCAAATCTTCAACAAACTTTCCAAACTTTTCTTACTATATTGATACATGAACTAATGCATCATGCCACGTCACGTGACCTGCACCGATCCTGTCTCTATACCTGATCCTACTGCTAACACTTCCCTATGCCTATCATATACATTTTGCAAACAAATATCAAATCCAATCCTCTAGTTCGTGGTTTCTAAAGTATAATGGATTCTTCAAACAATGGTCAAATGAAATGTGAGCTATAGTGGTCTAGTGATGGCTTGATCATTATACTCTCTTATATCATCACCATTATTATCATTGCTTGTCATATCTTGATATTTCACTGCACTTAGATCTTCAATATCAAATTTTTTATAGTAAGTATCATCCTTTATTACTCTCTTTTATGCTATTATCTTACACATATTGCCAATTGCTATGGTTTTGTAGTTCTAATTCAGGTTGTCATCTCTGACTTTTTGTTCCAAATTATGTGACACGTCAATTTCCTGGGGCATTCTCACAAACTGGTCTATTCGCCACATGGTTTCTCATAGCTGCCTTATTCAAATTGCATTATTAACTGCTTAGTCTATTCTTCTGGTTGAGATAGTGATATTCCATCCAAACCTCATAGCAGAGGTACTCAGGTAATATATTATAACCTTTTTCTCAATCATCCACCAGCATAAAGATATTGGTCGTGAGTGCATCACAAGTAGATTGCAATATATAACTGTTGTATCCTTCAATGCACTTGAATATTTTGCTCCTATGATTATCAGCCTTCTGTTTCTTAACCTTTTTGTGTCATCTCTGGTTTCAAAATAGATTATGGTGTCTGGATTGATGTTGATGATGCATTGCACTTCCTTGATACATTCAAATTTCCATATGGTTTTTTTGGTCACATCCATATACTTGATCAGAAGTTCTTTTATTGGATTGTTTATTCAAACCATTCATCTAATTGTTATCATAGTGTAGCACATCAATTTTGTAAAAGTTTCAACACATATTGTCACTGACTTCTTTTTAAGCTCTTGACAAAGTGCATTTATCAGACATCTTCACAATGCTGGGATGGTGCACAGCTTGAACGTCTCATTGCTCAGTGCATATATCCCCCATGTAATTATCATTTTCATTATCTTGGTCCTTCCCTTTGTGCTTTGATCACCTTGATATATGTTGCGCTTGGCTAGGACATTATTGTTGGCATCAATGGTACATTACATCACCTGAGAATATTTTTTCTCCAAGATCTTATTTCCAGACACTTCTAATACTCTTTCAATTCTTATTATTTGTTTGCCCTCCAGGTTCTCACATATTGTCAGTAATTCTTTCATCACTACAATGACTTATACTTTTGAAACCACCTTTACTAACTTACATTGTTCTTTTAATTTATCTTCTTCTTTCTCTTTAGTTTTATTGATCTTGCCGAAACCCTCTTCAGTTGCTATCAATGTTTCTTCTAATTAAAAGATATACATTGCAGGACCTGAAATCTCCGTCATTGTTATCATCAGAGTTAGGGTTGTTACTTATTTTTTGTATTACTTCCCCTTCATTATCTTTGAAGAATATTAACTATTTTTCTCCGTTTC